GCAGGAGAATGTACATACCCAATGGCATGAGCGACAGAGTTGAAAATATCCTTTTGTCACCTATTCTGTATCATTGATTAGCATAGTGAGGTTTCTACCGCTCTTCGATTATCAAGAACTTACTGGATAGTCCTGCCTCTGTCAATGGTCAAATTGCAGTAATGTCTTGTAAGTAAAACGTCAGCTGCCAGTCCAGCCGTGAAAAGTCAACTGCCTCAGTGAGATCGGATCATGTCATCAAGGAGATTGCCTGAATGAAGCCAACGTTTTATCCGTCTGAGTTGCGACAGCCCGACCGCAATTAGTTATTCGACCAACTTACAGCAACAGGTGGGTACTTTAGCTGAAATTTTAAAAATCCAGGTCTCAGTCTGAATCGCGTAGCTCAGGTTGTTAGAACCAAGCTTGTCCCAAATGGATACTTGTTAACTCTAATAACTGACGTGATGTGCATTCCGAGGTGATATTATGATAAAAAAGAGGGTTATTTGGAAAATCGAGTTATACTCGTGAATTTCAAAGTTGGTGACACCAACCCGTCGTCAGACGAAATGAACAGACGAGGTAGGCTGGCGTGACGTGACAGACAACGACAAAACAGACAGCTGCTGCATGGGAGGGGTGGGCCACGAGTTATGGTAAACTTTGGAGCGGGTGGGGGAGGGAAGGGAGAAGCGTTAGGGCTGCCTGTGTTGAGGTGGAGAAAGAGCGGGGGAATTGCGGATCAGTGGGAATGCGGGCGGCTGGTCATTGATGTGGGATGAAGTCAGAGGGCAATGCGTCAGAGTTCGAGGTGTTATGGGTTTTGGTTGTTTTTCGCCGTGTTGCAAGGGGGGAGTGGCGGACAGCATATTTCTACAGAAGGTGGGTTGACTCGTGAAATGACAAGTGAAATTCCGAAATGCGTCTTCGTTTCGAAAAGATTAATTAAGTAGGGTTGTAAAACCAGTCAGCCTGCAACACAATCTATCTTAATTCACCTACTTCATGATGCCGGCTTTCGAAGGAACTTCTTTTCGGCCGCATGCAGGAACTACACTGTAAAAAATGACTACTTAATACGCGTGCATTTTTCTCCTTGTTTTTGAATGCCCTTAAACAGTCAATTATGTTTCGTGGAAAACATGCCTGCAAATATTCATTCTTCTACTAATTCGGTAGGAAATTGTGTCTTCTTTCGATTTAATACTCGAAGGAAGGGTATAATTTGTTTTTAAAAAGCTTATTAGTGTGAGATTTTTTAATACCGTGAAATGGCCGTCCACAAAAGGTCACGGCTCTGCATTTACCAATGTGGCTTGTAAAGTTAGTAATACGGCTCAAATGCACTACTAAACACTATGAACCCCATATGATCTGCTTTGAATACCGTAGAGTAATTTACGGTTTTCCGTATGCGGAAAATATACGGCTTGTAGTTTGGAAACCCTGAATGCAAGTGTAACGGCAGGTCGAGTTCAAAAATTGTTCGGGAATCGGAGAAGTTTTTGAAAACCGAATTAAGCCCTTTCTTCGAGTATACAATTTAAAGAAGACGTAATTGCCAATAGAAGCGAAGAGACGAGTCCCAGGAAGTAGTCTATTGGCAATGTATTTGAGCGCGATGCGCTCCGATCGGCCCGGCGATGGGAAATCTTCGCCCTTCGAGAGGCCTCTACGTATTCGCAGATCCGGTTTCTGCACAGGTGTCTCGACAATAATGTGTTACCGAAATGTGTTTCATACAAGCCACCGGTTAACACGGATTTGGCGAGACGAGCAGTATTTCAACATGGCAGAAAGATGATCCGAGTGCTCCTCCAAGATTGCCACGCGAGACTTCGTAAGTACCGTCAAAGGATTGACCAAGAAAAGACCAGATGCTGTGAGTTCATGAGTGAGATCGGTACGGATCTGCTTCTGTGGAGGAAAGCTGAACAAGCCCGCGAACAGAGCATGATACGCAACGCAGCACTGGAGAACAAATTTCGAAAGTTGTTCAATCCAACGTCGCCCAGAAACGACAAACGGATGCACAACCTGTCATCAAAGGAGCTGACGAAGGATCAGATGCAGGTTTTACGGCACGAAGCTTCATTTAACACGGCTGACGCCAAACCCGTTAACATGATTGCAGCAGTGGAATCAATCCTTTGTCAGACGGAGGCAACGGAGGAGACTAAGAACCTCATCCGACACCAAGTGTCGTCTCTCCTGATGGCCCACAGACCGCGGGAAGTGCTTTCCAAGGTCGAACGTAATGCGCTTAGAGAACTCAAGGCCGACAAGGACCTGATCATCGTGCCAGCGGACAAAGAACGCGCCACAGTTGTACCGGACAGAACAGACTACCTTCAAAAAGCCAAAGGTTTACTGGAGGACCGACAGTTCTATGTCCCATGTGCAAAGAACCCTTTAAAGGCGCTGACACGCGAAATTAATGCTACGTTGTTGGCCTTGGAGAACTCAGGTGCAATAACATCGACGGACAGACGCATGGCAAGACCCCAGGGTACGGCTTTGGCCCGATTCTATGGCCTCCCTAAGGTGCACAAAGACGGCGCTCCTCTCCGACCCATCGTGTCGCTCAAAGGTACTCCAACGTACGGACTGGCTAAGTGGCTGTTCCGGCGTCTCAAGTTCCTGACCGCTGAGTCAGACACCACGGTCTCTACGTCAGCACAATTCCTGGAGAAACTCAAAGGGTTAAGCATCCATCCAAATGAGGTCATGGTATCTTTTGATGTTACATCCCTTTTTACTTCTATTCTCCAGCACCTGGCGATCGAGACAATTGAGCTGCTACTTTAAAGCAAATATGATGAAACGGAGAACCGTCTTGGACACACCCAAATCCTTCAGCTCCTTCGGCTCTGTCTCAGGACGTACTTCACGTTCAACGGGACAATCTATGAACAGGTGAAGGTCACATCAATGGGTTCGCCGATTTCGGGATTCATCGCCGCGGCGGTCCTGCAACGGTTAGAATCGCTGGTCTTCCAACACCACAGACCGAAATTCGGGGCCCGGTATGTGGATGACACCTTCGTCGTAATCGAATGGGATCAGGTGTTGACATTCCAAGAACATCTCAACGTCGTCTTCCCGCACATTCAATTTACGATGGAGGAGGAAGAGAACAACCAGCTGGCCTTCCTGGATGTCCTTGTATGCCGCAAAGATTGCTGTGAACTAAAAACCAAAGTGTTCAGGAAAGCGACAAATACGATGCAAGTACTGAACTTCAACAGTAACCACTCAATCAGCCACAAACGCAGTTGTGTAAGGACGCTCTATCGGCTTGTCGACACGCACTGCAGTGAGCCGGAAGACAAAATTGCCGAACTACAATACCTCCGACGGGTCTTCAAAGCCAATGGCTACCCGCGCAACTTCGTCGACCGGTGCATACGCAAAAGGGACGAAAGGCCTAACCGCACGGACACCAAATCTTGGCGGGCACTTCCGTATGTAGAGAACGTTTCGGAAGCTGTCGGCCGCCTTCTCGCACCACTTGGGGTTGGAGTGGCACACAGACCGGAGGCAACCATCAGGCGCCTGATCATGAAACCGAAAGACCCACTGCCACGGGTAGAAACGTCTGGAGTCGTTTATCGGATCTGGTGCAGTTGCGGACATAGCAACTACATCGGAGAAACCGGAAGACAGCTCCGAACGAGAATGGCCGAACACGCGGCAGCGGTGCGCAGAAATGACGCCAGCTCTCAAGTTACGGCTCATTCGACGAGATCCTGCCACACATTCAAATTCGATGAGGCCGAAATTCTCGCAAGGGGTGACAACCGCGTGAGCCGGGAGCTACTGGAATCATGGTTTACTTGCCCCCAGTCCATCAACAAGTGCAACGATCTTCCCACTCCATACTGCGTGCTAAAACTTCGCCCAGGCGGAGTAACAAGCCATGCGTGGAGCGCAGACGTGAACGCTTTTCCCAACACCGGGGTCGGTGCGCCAGATGGTCGAGCAATCATCACGCCAACATCCAACGCACGTGATGAAATTGCAGCAATTATCGACTCGAATTTCGGCAATCAAGCAGTGATCACACCACGTGCGACGATCTCGGATGAAGGGGGGAGCCGTGAAAGTTTATAGGTATGCGGTAGCATGGCTACTGCATCCTATAAATACCGTAGCCGCTTGTGCAGCAACCACCCGTTTCTGCTTTTTTGTCTCTGATGATGGATTCGAGTAGGAATCCGAAACGTCAGGTTAATAAAGCTCTTGTCCTGGCGATCGTGTCTCCTTCTTCAAGAAGACGTAATTGTCTGCCGAATGAGAAAAGGAATTAATATTTTTATGCATGTTTTCCATTAAATATAATTGATTGCTTAAGGTCATCGAAAATTGATAAGAAAAATGTATGCTCCATAAGTAGTCATTTTTTGCAGAGTGTAGCTCCTACATGCAGCCGAAAAGAAATTCGTTCGAAAGCCGGCATTCCGAGGTAACTGGATTATTATAGAAGTATGTTGCATGATGATTGGTTTTACAACCCTACTTAATTAATCTTTTCGAAACGAAAGCGCATTTCCGAATTTCGATTGGCATTTCATGAGTTAGCCCATCTAATGTATGTGGCCGATTGGGGCTAGCGGTTGTTAGGGTGTATGAACAAGGCACTGATCGTGTACGTAGACCCTCGCAGTGAGCGTCTAGATCGACGCTGCGATTGATGCTGGTCGTGCCCGAATACCAAGCTTCGAGGAATTCTCGCACCTCTCTGGTGTTAGTCATTGAGATCACTTCAGGACCGTCCCAATTAAAGCGGTGGTCATACTTGGAGGCGTGCGCAAATACGAGAGACAGAGGGTCACGTCGACGGAGGGCCGAGTTTTACTCATTAATGCGAGTCCCAAGACATCGGCCTGTATGGCCAGTATAAACACAAGGGCAGTTAGCGCACGGAGTGCGGTAGATGACATTAGTTAACTATTCTTCTAGCACCTGGGCCTTAACTAGACGCAAGAATGCGTGTAGAGAAAATGCGGGCTTGTGAGCGATGGAGGTGCCATGTGTTTTATTTGTTGGGGTTTGTTCCAGATGCTCCCTGAATGTACACTAGTGAATAGAATTTCCGCAGCGCTGTATCTCCAGGACAGTCGGGGGCTTGGTGGTTGTCTCTGGACACGCAGAATTTGCTGTCTCGCCAGCTCCCCCCTTGCGACACATTGAACAAAAACCAAAACTCCCAACACCTCAACGCTGACACACTGACCTCTGACCTCATCCCGCATCAATGACCAGCCACCCACATTCCCATTGATTCGCAATTCCCCCGCTTTATCTTCACCTCAACGCAGGGAGCCCTAACGGTTCTCCCTCCCCTCCCCCCGCCCCGAAGTTTGCCATAACTCGTTGCCCACCCCTCCCACGCATCAGCTATCTGTTTTGTCGTTGTCTGTCCTGTCGCGCCAGCCTACCTCGTCTGCCGATCTCACTGTCCCCTCTATTCATTTCGTCTGCCAACGGGTCGGCGTCACCAACTTTAGATTCACGAGTGCAACTCAACTTCAGAAGCGCTTTATCGTTACTCACATGTTGGCTTGTTTATTTCCGTCGAAGAACGGGTCAAAAGTCTTTTCTTTATTTCGTAAACTTGTCGCCTTGCATAAGGTTCTTAATTTGAAGAAAAGATAACCGATTCGTATTCTGACTGAGATATCTGAAGTCGGAATCGCAAAATGAAGTGGTCATTCCGCGCTCCTTATCGATTGATGACCTGCGTTCATCGTCTCTCGATGGGATAGTTGTGCCCTTTTGATTGAAGACGTTGAGTTCTCGCTTCGCTTTTTGGTTGATGAACATCAGACTCGTCAATACTTGAGGTTATTGTAACAGTAGCTGATGACAACAAACCAGATGTGCCATTCTAGCCGGCCCGTTTCCTTGCAGGTAACACTTCTGAATGGATATTTTGATAGTCGTTCCCGACACTAGATGATATGGATAATCCAATTAGCCTACTCAGACGGCCTGGACTTTAACAAATCCGTAAGAACGATCGGTGAGCGCCCCTCCGCCATTGTATATTCCCGATCTAAAACGACAAGACGCCGAGCCCGTGACTCAGTGGTTCGAGGCGTTGAAATTTTTAACCAACAGGTCGCGAGCTCAAGCCCCAGGTGTTCCACACCTCGGAGTCACGTATGACTGGCTGACGACGGCTAATAAGCCAGAAACGGCCATTCCAGTCTCCCTTGTCTTTGTCATTAATGCCATCCTGCCTATATCATGCGCCACCGTGTGGCTGCTGGTTGGGCTCGAGAGAAAGCCCGTAAGGCACAACGGAACGTGTAACTTCCGTAAGAATAGTCTATGAGCGTACCTTCACCATTATCACTAAACCGTTAAAAGTTATCCATCTCTTCTGTAGACGCGAAATTCACAGTGCTGTAAAAAATACTTAAATGTGGTTTCATGTAGAAAATATTGTTTGACTGCGTCTGCATCAATATTTAGCACAGGACGTCACGTCAGAACAGTACCTCCACAAAAGAATGCTGTCTTATTTCTGAGAATTCTTTCCTCCATGCAAACTCTTTGTGGTCAAAAACGCTTGTGCAATGTGTCACCTGCATATTTTGGCTTTGAATGGAAATCCGTGCGTCTTTTAAAAGTGCATATATAAACTTGTTAAAATTAGCTGCGGCAACTGCGATTCTGTACCTAATGAGGATGTGTTTTGTGGTTTCGTCGCTTTTGTGAAAAGCGCACTCAAAAGACACACTAGCTAAAATTCCCCTGGCGTATTTTATTGATTTAATGATGGTTTGCACCGTAATCACGCTCTTTGTTCAAGTCCTTTTACTACGAGGGTTTGTTCTCTTCAGGGAAGACAGTTCGACTTGGAAAAAAAGCCCTTCATGTTAGCCTGGTAGTTTATGCCAATAGGTGGAACGCACATCGTCATTATCTTCAGCCAAGTTATTTCGTGCTATTCGAAAGTGATGATTTATTGGCAGACGGATGAAAGGACATAAAAATCCCCTTTCTGAAAAACAAACGACATGCAGTCTCAAAAACTCAAAAAACAGCAAGATAAAGCTTTATATATCCATAAATCAACGGGCCTTTTGAAAATGAAGTATTTACTTCCATCGGGTAAAAATATATGCAAACCTTAAAGAGAGCCTTAAAAAATGAAATTTTGTGACCATATTTTGATTTTCATAGTGATTGTAGAAGCACTAACAATCAGCAGAATATACAGTACGTAAATATCAATTTTCTTTTGACTATAGCTTACGCGGGCAACCGAAATTTCTCTTTTCCAAAGTACACCATGTTACGTATAGGATTTAATTTTACACCAAGTTTCTTGAAAAACGAATCTTGTGCCGTCCAAGGACCCGTCGCCATATTTAGATCGCCAATTTAATCAAGGTACATCGGACATTTGTCCAGTGAGTTCTTGTCCATAGTTATAAATTTTCAAATTCGTTTCTGTTCAAGATTAAAAGAAGGACTTAATCTCGGGTTAAACACTCTGTGCTAAAAATGAAAAAATGGCGATGATACTGTGGGCCATAAAGTGAGATTATGTAGCTGATTTGGGCGTGCTTTTTGACGTCCGTCTTATGTCTTCAGCCTGCTGTCTTGATCAATCGCCGTCATTCAAATGTAGACTGTGAGGAACAGAGCATCTCAAAATCCAACTCGAAATTATACGCCCGTATATGAAAGTTACTCTTGAACGCTCGGTATCAGAAATTCGTTACTGAGGAGGTGAGTTTGTTCATTTGTCCAGTAGACATTGAATGCTCGTCGTAAGTCATTGTGCCAGTACAGCCGATGCGCTAAATTATGAACTGTTAACTGAAATTCCGAAAGACGTTTTCGAATAGAACAGACTACTTAAATTTGGTTGTGATATTAATGACCATGCAGCATACTCCCAAGATATTTCATTTATTCTGGGGTGCCGGCTTTTAAAGGAACTTCTTCCGGCCACCTTCAAAAACTACACTCCGCAAAAAACACCAGTATCTTTCTCCACTGCCTTTCTATTACTTTCCCATTATCAACTTTTCCAATTATAATATATGCGTATTCGGATAGAGAGCTGAGATGGTTCTGACCTAAGTTATTGCGTATTTAATGATTCAACTCTACGTGATTTTTTTGCTATTTTACAGCTGATCGTTTTGATATTTTTTTAAAATTTTGCCCTGCAGATTTAACCTGGAACGTCAACAAGAGTCTTAGCTCTTTTGGACTCTTTGGAAGCTGGGTCAGCCACGTTGTGAAATCCAAAATGTCTCGAAACATTATGGCCTGATTAGACTAAATCTGCTCTGCAACGCGGTTGGTTAGTTTCCTTCACAGTTAGGCGAAAAATACTTGCCAATATTCCACCAGCACCTGGTCAAACCGAATGACTCGCAGACCGCCTATAAGACAGATGCTTTTGGATTAAGACGTCCCATAAAAGAACTGCAACAACGACCCCGTTAATTCCGTCTAAAAACAATTGCTCCCCGTTTCATAAACTTCGGAAATAAAATACACATGTAATTTCGTTAATGTGTGGCGATTCCAGTTTAAATGATTTCACTCAAGAGGATACAGGTCGTCAGTATTTCGACCCCGCCTTACAAAATTTTGCTACTTAAAAGTATGTTTGATGATTTCACTCAGATTCACGAGTTTCGACGTCGACCGTGTATGAATCTTAGTCGTTCAGTCTCTAGGTAACCACAATTACGCGCTGACTTTTTTTAAGAACGCATAATTACAGAATAGTTTGTACGTAGTAGTTTTGAAATTTGACAGTCCGTAGAGCAGAAATAGGGAGACGTATTGTGTGGACACGTTAGAATTTTTATGTAACTTTTCATGTACTTGGGTAATTTGCTTTTCACTGTAAAAACTGAGAGGTCGCTCTGACGTCCATTCTCCTGCTTAGTGCAGGACTGTTCTAAATGGCGGTGACGTCGAATATACATTTTACAAATCATAGAAAATCAACGCGTCAACGTAATGCTTATTTTGCCTTACAATCTTCGCCAAAAATCGGTAGTATAATGCGCACTTTCTGGAAAGTCGCCATTTATAAGCGACAGAAAAGACTCGGGCTAAATGGAAACGCATTTATTAACTCTGCTGTCAGGGAATGGCAATCATTCGAGAGAGTGGGAGAAATTCACCTTCTTTTAAAACTATAAATTCGAAATTTCAAACAAAAAATAGGCTCCATTCACTATGGACAGAATATAAGCCAACAAATTACTCAAGAATCAAAAACGTTTATGCAGAACGAAACGACTACTATGGGGACAATTCGAGTCTTAGCCTCTTTCTGTCTCTTCATACGTAAAATTGCCTACCAGGAATGGTAATACAGAATGTTGATTCGCCGATGTACGCAAGAGATCAGTCGAAAACCACGGCGCTTCGGGTAAAAAGACATTGCAGAGAGATGATCAGGATGGCCAACTTTATCCTGAATTCGACTAGCAAATAGCTTGACCGGTTTGAAATGTCGTTGCAGGATAATGTCGACTAAAAATACATAAGAAACACCGGCAGCAAAAGGAGAGCACTCGGAGGACTCATCTTACAATTAGCAGATCTTTTTCGAGCAAAGCGGGAAAAATTATAAGAGGACAATAAAGAATAAGCAGAAGAAGAATACAGACATCTATGAACCGCAAGATTAGGGATTCAGGTGTGTGATGGGAACATAAACGACGAATGTGATAAAGAGGTTACAAACTTTAGTAAATAGGAACTCAATGTGGAAGGAAAGTGAAATATTTGGTGACAAAGTAACGCCAAGGAACCTGACAGAGGATACCTCGTTGGGAAGGATGTCCAAGGATTCAGAACTAGGAGAGGGCCGCAGTCGGAAAATACATTGAACTGATTTTTATTTTTCATTAGCTGGCCATTTTCCTGCAACTATACTGTGACATGGTCGAGTCCATCATTCAGAGACTGGATATGTGTCTGATTTTTGCGAGGGTTGCCAACAAGCACATCGTCAGCATACTTAACCAAAAGACAGCCGTTAGGGGATCTTAGATAGTCGGTGTGGAGGGAGAAAAGGTGAGAGGATAAAATGGAACCTTGAAGAACCCCACAGTCACTGGGAAGGGCCGTAGATATCCGCTTGCCGCATTGGGCAAATTGAGTGCGGAAAGTAAATTAATCGCTAAGCCAATAGACGATCCAACTACACGCGGATATTGTGGTAAGGAGAAGAGGACGCGGGAAGTGTTGAAGGCAGAGGAGTAGTCAAGATAACACATGCATACTCACGGCAACCCTTATCTAATTCTCTTAGATCAGAGTGGACCACAAGAGCAACAGCATCTAAGGTACTACGCTTGGCCCTATATTTAAATTGCAAAGAATAGGAAAAGCTTGAAAAGGATGGCTTTATAACATCCAGGGCTACTCTTTCAACAAGCTTTATTAGTGCGGAAGAGCAGGCAATTGGACGAAAAGATTTCGGACCAAAATTAGCGAATTTTAGGGATAGGAGTGATTCTCACCGTACGCCAAGCGTCAGGAATCTCTAACTCCAGGAATGACATGCTATTAAGATGCGTTAAGATAGGACTATCTGAGAACAACAAGATTTAAGGATAGAAGGTGAGATATCATCGGGTCCGGCAGCTGTTGACCCACGAACCTGTTTAAGATGTTTCTTTACTGTTGCCATAGACACGGGTTGTAAGTCACATGGTGACGGTGGAAGGTCACTTGAAGGAAGATGGGAGTCATTGTGATTAAAGATAAAATTGTCGGTAATGCTATTCTGCCTATATATCATGCGCCGCTGTTCGGCTGCTGGTTGGGCTCGAGAGAGAGCCCTTAAGTCACCACGGAACGAGTGAGTTCCGTATGAACGATCACTGAGCGCCCCCTACCATTGATAAAATTTTTCTTTAAAGAGTCTAGATCAGCATCCACGTGTACCGGTGAGCTGCGATAACCTTTGGGACGCTTAAGATTCTTCCAAATTTCTGCAGATGGAGGAGAAAAAGTATAGGAGGAAGATGAGATAGAAGGCTGACCAACAAATAAGTCATTTAGTCTGAAAATCTCTTTTTTATTAAGATGATAGCGTCTTTAAGGTTGTCACGTAAGCCTTGTTTGTAGGAGAGTTCCTTCTTCATCTTTAGAATTTCATATAGGGAGAAGAAATGTTATCTGGGCATAGCAAACTAGTATCAAAAAACAGCAGTCATCAAAACTTTTATCTAAAAAGACTGTTAGGTGGCTAGAGCATGATTTAACATTCGGTTGTTTAAGGAAAGCGGGGATAGTATAAGATATGCAAGCCTGAAGCAGGCGAATGTTTTGCGTGGACGTGTTGCAGACCTTTCTCTCAGGTTTAGTCAGTAGTGCACCTTTAGAGGTGAAATAAACTTTTGGAAGATGCAATATCGTAGAATTATATGAATCCGACATTTCAACACAAAAATCTAGAGGTGGTTGGTCAAAATGCGATCAAGAGGGGCATCAGCGTGAGCGTTGAAGGAGACAAGATCATCATCTTGACTGTGGAATGGACGTAGGGACGATCCTACCAAATCTTAAAACCCAAATTGAAGTTTTCGCGCAAAAGATGCCGTAGTCCAGGCGCGTTGTCGACAAAAATAGAAACACTGAAATGGCATGTTCTGACTTGATTACAGTTCTCAGGTTCTTGATGCACCTTCTGCACTTTTCAGTCTCGAGACATTTAAATCAGAAGTCGTGTGTTTCGGCTGCTTTAATTTTGTCATCTCTCCTGCGTGGGCTTCCTAATCCGATATTTCGGGTAAAGTCGAATTTGCAAGTGTTTATTCCTTACTCTCTGCCTACTAGCAATTTCGTCCTCAAAGTACAAGCCTAATTTCTTTTTGAGATAAAATATTATCACATTTTTGTCAGGCCTGCCGGTTGGAAGCCAGAAGGAAGCTTCTCTGTCTACGCTCACCAGACTAGTGGAGTAAAAGCGGCCTTTGCAGCTTTGCCCTCAACGAAGTAGGCCTTTGATTTTGGTGGTCATATCAGCAGTCCAATCAGTTGCTCATTCTTTAAAAGAATCCCGAAAACAAGGTGAAGTTCGCTTTTGATGAGGAGGGGTTGGCGCCACATATGCGGCTGCTGTATGCTTTTGGAAAACCACCAACCCTCCATTGCGCTATCTGCCATCATGTGATCGGGCCACATTTCTGTTCAGTAGAAAGAACGTCTGTAATCTGCTGCAACGAACGGCGCCTGTGATGGGATGCCCACCGAAATAAAGTATTACCTGTCTTTCGTTATGCGATCAAGTGTCGTGCGAAAATTATATGCCGGTATTAAATCTTTTGATAAATTTTATTTAAATGGTCACTCCCGGTGCTACTTTTTTCTTTGGTTTTAGAAAATGGCGACGTTTGAATGCACATTATTGATCGATTCGTCACTTTGCAACTGTTTATAATTTAGAAGATATTTGTTCGCATTCGTGAAGGTTCATTGAGTTTACAAATATATATCCTGGTGAACCGTATCGATCATTTGTGCTGTTGAAGTTTGCTTCTGTTGACAGAAAACAGGCCAGTCGGCTGCTCTCGAGGCAGCCTCTAATGAAAGTGTTCAGGCCATTCGCTGCAAGAAATAAGCCCCGGTTCGAAGTGTCTACAACCATGCAGACTGGAACTGAAAATACGGCCCTTAGACCACATGTGATTTCCACAGGAAGACCCTGTGCTCTTGAAGGTGATAACATGATTTTATTTTTATGACTACGTTGACCAGTTGAAATCCGCGGTGACACACATCCCGAACTACTGCCGTCTTAACTATGGAAGATACAGTATCAGCTCTGCTTACTTTAGCTTTTAATTTTCGTTATTTCTATACTGCAAGCCCATGACGGTAGATCCCCTTGATTACTGATGAATTTTGGCTATGCGACTGCCTATGCGGTGACCAAATGTGTACTCCTTGGACAAAACTGGACGGTTGCACTCCAGGCTGGAATCAGACCAAGTCAGTAGACATCGTTGCACGTTAAAAATGGCTCCTTATGTGTGAGCACTTCATGATAGACGAGAAGTGATGTTGGAAGAATGACATGCAAGAATGGTTATTTTCAAAACTAAGATAGGCATCAATTTAATTGGCTTTCGAACCAGTCCACTTCCAACCTTGCAATTAACTCCTTCTTCCTCGCTGGACCAAATCAGAAAACCGGACCGCAACTCCCCCCCCCCCCCACCACTGCACTTTATAACCTAACGCACAAGACAAAACCCCGCACCGTTTGCGTTTTTTATGCCGAGGTAGGTTAAGCACGTAAACGTACAGACCTGAAAGTAAATTACCATAACCGCCGTTTAGAGCATCGTCTGAATTGTAGTGTAGGTAAGTGACACTACTGGTGTAATTTCAGTAGATGTTTATGTCCGATTTTTTGTTTGTTCGCTCAGCGCAGCACTGCCCGGCTGCTGCTTTGAATCGTAAGTGGAGACATATCGACGTACAGCATAAGTTGGCCCTGCTGTCACGAATCTCCGTGAGCCCTTGACTATTTTTACACGCGCCAAGCGCAGGCTTCTGTCACGCTAGCCACCCAGTCGAGCCGAGTACAGAAGGCCCCCTGGACATGAGACAGGAAGGAATCAGTAAAGTCGACTAATGGTGGAGGGACGCTCACCGATCGTTCTTACGGAGCCCACTCGCACCCGTTGTGCCTTATGCGCTCTCCTTCGAGCCCAACCAACAGCCGCACAGCGACGCAGGATATAGGCAGAATGTTATTACCGGCAAAGACAAGGGAGACGGGAATGGCCATTTCTGGCTTACTAGCCGTCGTCAGCCAGTCACACCCAACCCCGCGGTGTGAAACACCTGGAGCTCAAACTCGCGACCTGTTAGTTAGAATTCCAACGCCCCTGACCACTGGACCACGGGCTCGTTGTCTTGTCGGTTGCGATCGGTAATATACAATGGTGGAGGGGGCACTCACCGATCGTTCTTACAGGACTTTTACGGACTTAGTTGGATTTTAATCTCCCTACGGTAGCTATATGGGCGAGCTAAAAGTCATAGCCTGCGGGTTACCAGCTGAGAAGTATTTTGTTTCCTGAAGATGAGAGTGCCAAACTACGCTGACTGCTTGCCATCGTTCTCGTGAGAGTTCTTTTCGCTATGAACTCCGGGTACCCCCTTTGAGGTATAGTTCACGTAGAGATAGGAGCAATGCCTTTGGTCATTGCATACACCTACACATCTGCCTCACTGCGAAAATGTTTGCACGCAAATCACTACTGCTGGATAGATGTGGGCTTCGTCGCGTGTGATGAAAAGGTTGGCTACACATGCGGCACATGACACGAAAGTAGATTGTGCCCTGTATTTGCTATTGCTGCAACTTCGCAAAAATAATCTGCCTCATCTGAAGGCGTTTTGTACATTATACCAGGGGATTGAGCATGGCCTGTCGAAGTAAATCAATAAGGATGCTCACCTGCAGAGTCCAACTTTGGTCTACAAGTACCTATGCTGGACCTCGAATGCGGACCACCCATCGGACAACCACAGAATTTTGTTTTACGTATCCTCTCACAGATCTCTCTAGCTGAGCTTCTTCTCTACGATCTTTCAACTAGTTTTTCTGGTAACAATTGGGAGATGGCACCCGAAAAAATCCGTCCAACCAGAGCAGCCTGTCTCACGGGATTGCGTGAATAAATATAAATAATAATAAGAAGCTTTTTTCAGAAATGGCTTTTCGAACGATAAAGTTTAACCTCATCACTATATGGCAACAAAAATGTGCGCGGTGTCGGATTTACTTGAAGAGGCAGATAATATGAAGTTGATCCAGGTCGTATTCCCTGCTTAATTGCTTTTTTTAAATAGGGGATTGAAAGCGGAATGCAGTTGGCTAAAGGAAACGTTCTACGTTGTGCTGTTCATGACCCTGCGCCTTCATATCCTCGCTTTCAAAACTGCACGTTCAATAAACACAGAGGACGTGATTGAAAACATCGCCGCACCTGACCCCTACGAGAGTTGCCATTTTGTGAAATTGCTTAGCTGATGACACCGTCTGTCTAGGATTGTATGCTTTTAAAGTTTTCCGGCCCTCAGTAAAATACCCTTATTTTATTCCTTTCATCAGCCTGTGGACGAACACTCATGCAGTCCTCCGGCATATTCTCATCGGTAACGGAAATTTTTAGGTGCCATCTCCCAATTGTTACCGTTTTTCTTTTACTTCACCGCTTCTTCGAGTCCATACTCGACGGCAAAATAAGAAGGGTACTGAAGGCGAAATAGAGGAGACAGCCCTTGTCAGGCAAGAGTGTACAAGAATATAGAGGAGCAAGTTGGGAAAGGATTGAATCTCAGACGTCAGCCAGAAGCACGCGAAGATCATATAATTAGCTAATCCACGCGGGGTCTTCTCAGGCCAGGACATGCATGTACAGAATGCAGGTGTATCCATCAGATACATGGCCGAAAAAATTCAAAAGGGTATTCGATAATAGAAAACAAAGCAGCAATTCATGCGATTAGATAAGATTTTCAGGTGCAACTGAGTTATAATCCCCGAAATATTAGGAAGGGGAGGGTAAAGCATAATAAGTTACGCAGTGGATGATCTAAAAAGAGCATGGGAAACGAATTAAACAAAGGATGGCAAAAGTAACATAGAAAAACAAGCCATAAATCCAGAAAAGTTTAAAAAGGTGCGAGAGGAGAAAATCAAAATGAGCAGGGCACGTCTGGCAGACGGGACGTGGAGAAGGCTTGGGGGAGAAACTGTGGGGGTTTAACCCTCGCGGGTGCCTTATGCGCCAGCGAAAACTTCGGCCAATCAACTTTGCGGGCATTTGGCTTAGCACTTGATTTTTTACGGTGATACGACTTTAAAGTTATCATTAGTGATGGCAAATATCGCGCTGACATGCTGATCTGTGCCTCTATAAAATTAACTTGTTATTAAATGACCACTTTCCATGCAGCGGCAAATTACTTTACGTAGGCTCATCGTTGTTAATCAGACCTTAAGGAATTACAGAATAAAGTCTGCTAGAGGTCAGTTAATAAATCGTAAAACAACTCAGCCGCCATGTAATGGTTTTTCTTTTGCTATTTTGAGTTTGCCCTTATTTTCAAACGGCGTTGTTTTATATCCCTTCATTAATGCAGGAATAATTGTTTTAGAGCGCTGGCTGCGCTAAAGCCTTCCCCTTACTGCGTGGGTTCGAATCCCACCGAGGCGCCGAGTTTTTCACAGTTGGTTCAATATGAATTATTCAAAATCTGCCAAAATATCAAAGAATAATTGTTTTATCAGTTTTAACCTTTCTGCTTCAGTTATGTTCAAGCATTTTGGGGAACTCATCGATGCACAGATAACATGGCCTCCACTTATTCTCACCTCTGTTACCGGGCATATATCTTTTCGGTTTTCTCTGCTGCATGATGAAACCGTGATATGTCGGCACATAGTTAGGTATCCGGCGTCGTCAGTATGGTGCCTGGAGTAATTGCCATTAGTGAGAAGAAATTTTTAGCTTCGGGACTCAACCTGACGGGCTTTGCTACGACGAATGCTCACGCAACGTAAAGGGACAGTTTTGGAATTAAGATGGTCTGGTAACTGCTGGAAAACGGTTTCGTGTTGTTATCGCAGACCTGCGGCGAGCACCTTTCAGCATGCGACAAAAAAACATGGATCGGAACGAGCGGACGGTTGACTTTCATTATGGTCGTTCATTTTTCTCTCTGATGATGTCACATGTCTGCAAATATAGCCCAAACGGCCACCTTGGTGAGAGTGGATGTTCGAGAAATCACTACTTTGGCAAATGCTTTCAAGAAATCTTTTATTCTAAAACTTCTGATAATCATATAGCACAACACCTATCTTCATGCGTAGCAGATTTAGAACAACGAAGACTGTAAAGTGTTCCTCGGCAAATCAGGAGCATTCTGAAACTCCACGGATTTCATCGTGATTAAATACGCCACACAAATTTTACAGAGGGGCAATCCTCTTTAGATACCCAAATTGCATTTTTGTGGCTGCATTTGCTAATTCTGTTTTGATCTAGTCGCCGCCCGGCCTGTAATCATACGACGGTAACAATCGGGAGATGGCACCCAAAAAATCCGCCTAACCAAAACAGCCTGGCTTACGGTACAGATGGTAATAGGGGTTTTATGGGTGATGGCTGGTCGAGATATACGATACTAGTCGACGGAAAGCCTTATTTTAACAGGTTAATGATCGAAGTTGGCCCGCTCTCCGTTCCGTTATTTAAAAAAATGGGTCGCCAAAGGCAGTATAGAGGTAACGGGCGAGTGGAAGGCTTATAATCGTCTTCCCTCATGCGACGGTAAATGCACTTTTGCGGGCAAGCATTTCTTGATCACAGACCGAAAATCTGCATTTTTGGGAACTGAATCATCGCCAGGTCATTCTACGCAGCTGCATCTGGTTAGCAGTCTGTATGAACGGTGCAGGTCCTAAAGGTGCGAGTCTGATACCAGTGAACATGGTCGCGAGGTGCGGGGGGAAGCGACAGTGGGATTAACGCAACCTTTGGACGTAATTTTGAAAATAACTCCTGTAGTTGCAGATTCCAAAGGTGATAATCTCCAGACCACAGTGACCAACACCTCTGATGGCGCGGCAACAGCGTTGTAACCCTGGTTATAACCCCGGATTCACATGTGAACTTCGTCGTTGGCATCGAATGTGTGACAAACGTTGTTTGAACATCCAATTTTAAATCTTTGATTTCGTTGCTATCTGAAATTTACCTCGACTTTCTCCGTGCATCAAGAGTACAGAAAGGCACTGCTTAACGAGATTACTCTATTATTAATCCGAAGTGTAAGCGTAACAAGAGCTTGCATTTACACCAACTTCCGCTCGTCTCGCTGGCCAGATTTTTCCTCCTGTCATTTTGGCAAAGAAATCAAAATAAAAAAATTTTTCGTAAATTTTTTTTTATTGTGGATGAACCATGGTCAGAATATATACAGTATTTAAAAATGAAGTTTAGGGGTAAGATATCTGCAAAGTTACACACCAGTACTCAAGAGCCGTGCCCAGGGGATTGACTGAAGTCAAACTCATCATGCCGATTTCGAAATCCCTTAGCAAAAGGATTGTTGTCAATCTTTACCCGTATCACATCGGGATTCTGATAGGCGGTGACAGAATAAAAGTGTGTTCCAGGGATGACATAGGATCCCACCAATTCCCATCCGCAGCGGTGAATAAAGTGGCTTGATTTGGTCCGCTCCATTTCCTCCTTTGTTAGCTCGCATGCAATGTGATAGCGTGGCATGTAGTGATGCATGCTGTACACGTAGATCTGTAGTTAAAATAAAAGTTATGATCTACTTAAAATTCGCTAGTAGCCGTACAAAAATGCACGTTTTTACTTGCCATATTTTGATGTCTACCGGCGTCCTTGCTGTTGGTTATCTTCGCGCGCATGAAATTGACTCCAGCCTCTGTCCAATGACTTCCGCATCGTGGTGAATCCTCTTGCAAGTATATCAGGGGCGCTAGTTGGAAAGTACTTGGTTAATCGACTCAAAGATATCTCTACAATCACGTGTGCCTGTTTTATTGGCGTCTCAGAGTAAGTAAGCTACATTCTCTGAATACCCGCAAAAGCAGTATGAAATATTGGCAAGTTCTTAATACTGAAGTAAAGTATTCGTTCACATTGTGGACTCTACTATAGGTAAAAATTAACTAGTCCTTAGATGAAATGCCATCTTACCATTGCCTTCTGATGGAGGGTAGACCTCGGCCTGACCACTGATCATCCAAGTTCCAGCCTGATGTTTGAGGACATGTGGCTCTAACATGACCATGTCCATAAAGAACATGTACTTTCGATTTGGTTCAAGCCCCTTAACGTTCACGGAGAGAGTGGGAAAGATTCGTCTACAGGCAAAGGGAAAATAGACCATAGGGCATTAACATCTGACCATCTCGTTACGAGACATACACTATGAAGGGGCCGGGGTCTCACCTTCCGCTGTTTGTTGTTATCATCTCTGCTTGACAGCTACTCAGGTCGTTCCAGAGTTTGGAGTCCTTCAGTTCAAGGTGAATAGCCGGTGTACCGAAGACCTTTGCATGATTCAGATCTGAACCTCCCACGCAAATGGACCGAAACTTTCCCAGACGAGGACTGAACCAGTAGGCTGGATCTTCTACTCCCACCGGCGGCAACATCTGCGCCAAAACTGCGTGCAACTCCGGTGACATGGCCATCCCTCTCTGATCCTGTAGAACCTTCTTCCGCGAGGTAGTGCTGATGCTTGTCTTCTTACCGCTTATTCCGGAGCCCATTCCCCCCGCACCGCGTCCGCGTTTCCTGGTGGGGCGTGAGGCAGCCTGCGTGACAGCCCTCTCGCTGACCTCCAACCAGGGCAGCAACGATTGGGCAGGGGTTGAACTGTCTCTCCGCGGCGTAGACTTGAGGTAGGCGCTTATTTCACCAATGGAAGTTGGCGGTGTCCAGGATGTCGGTGTTTGAGATGTGGCCGACTCAACGTAGTCTGCGCGAACTGACGGCAGGGATCCCGTTCGCGGGTAAAACTGTGACGGCGGCGGCGGCGGCGGTTGACCAAACCCGCCGAGGCATTGTGGATACCCCGACCCGTCACCCTCCAGGGCGTAACGCAGGGAATTCGGACCCGGCGACCAGGCGTACGACTGGCAGCTCTGCTGCTGCTGGCCTTGATCCAGTCCTCTTGATTGCCAACTCCCCCCAGCATCGTCAAAGAACGGACTCTTGACTGGCATGATGTAACTGATTGGAGGTGGGCGTGGATCCGTGTAGGTAAAGGGGCCAGGGAGTGCGGACTGGGTAATTGGGGGATAATTATCATTTCTTGGCAGGTTCATCGTCAGACTACCCGTGGGAACGAAGGACTCCACATCGGTGGAACTCTGTGCTGCCTCTTGCGAGTCCTCGAGAGGAGGCATCGGGACTTCGTATGCAGAACTGTAGCAGCATCGCTGTTGATCCTCTTGGTCTGCATAACGTCCTGAACTGTAGTTTGTAACGCTGGTGGTCATTGTGCCCGCGATTTTTACGGTCTGCTCGCCGGTCTCCGAGCTGTCCATCCACGTGTAGGCACTGGGTCGACTGGCAGAACTGAGGTCGTAGCCGCTGATTTGCTGACTGCCGTCTGAATTTGGGTAGCCACTCTCCCAATAGGCCTGGTCCTCAGAACTTCGACCGTAGGACAGCGAGGCGCTCCTGTCTTCCGATCTGGGCAGGGGATAGGAGGACTGATCGTGCAGAGCACCGCTTTCCTGTCGAAGACTGGGAAGTTCCGTCGAGGAAAAAGATGGGGACGTGGAACTGGAGAGGAGTTGGAGGTCGGAAATCAACTCCATTCCGAGTTACGGTCAGTTTCTGAGGACCTTGGGATTTTATTTAAAGCACACAAGGTTGTCATATGGCCAATTTGCAAAGGATTACAGTAAGTGTTTGCACAATAATGACAGTCTACGGCCGATGCAAGAGGAAATTGGGTTTTAGGAAGTAGGCGATAAAGAAACACGGTCGCTCGAAGAAGTTAAATACGTCCGACGATTCGGATTCGCAATCTAACTCATCAACGGAGGACAACAAATAAGTGTATTGAACGCACAGACATTGCGACATTTATGCTACGCATTTCCCAACGCCATTACATACATATCAAGATCAGCAGTTCATGCAGACTCTAACACTTGATGTCATGATTGTTTTACAGTCCGCACGCGATCCGTTTATTATTGCTGATGAACAACGGGCTACGTCATCGCTTTGGCCTCTTCGTACTTGCCGTTATGACCGGGTCCTGTCGGGAACTTGGAATGTTATTCCGAACGCGGATATCCGCATATGGATTGGGAGTGTCGATGAGAAGCGCTCCGCTCATTCCATAGGACGTCATAATTTAACTCGGATTAAATATGACAATAAGGTATTCCGACCCTACTTGCAATGTCTGTCATTTAAGTCTACTGCTCTAGACCGCTATTTTGGATCCGCGCGCCGAAGACATTTTCCGTAAACTTTGGCTGCTTGTTGAATGATAGTCGACAGCTCGCGCATCGGGACTCTAACTCGCGTTTTGTGTTTTTGTCAGCCTGGTTAAAACTACGATGGCCTGCCGGGGGCTTTAGGTTTTTCCTGTGACAAGTTTCATTATTGCGTTCTGATAAGAGAGAGCGGGATAAAGTCCCTTGCCATCACGCATGGTGTTGATGACACAGGAGTCGTGCAGTCCGCGACCTTTTGACCGACGCATTACTCACACGCTCGACCGACAGATCATCTCAGTACCTTAGCCTACAGCCAGGACGTCATGACGATGCACAACCTATGACTGATGATCTGAGCTGTCTACTTCTGATTGGTAAATGTCACACAGAGACAAGTCAGACTAGCATTGCAATTTCTCGGAGTATCTGACGTTAGCGAATAAAAGTGGTGCTGCCAGTCTCTGTTGGCCACATTTGCATTACCGACTGCATGACGACGACGATGATGATGATGATGATGATGATGATGATGATGATGATGATGATGTCACTGGAGCAAGACGTTTATTGACCTGACGTTTCGGATTATCAATCGGGCCCATCACCAGAGATTGTCTCTGAGTTAAAATCCGAAACGTCTGGCCAATAAACTTCTTGTCCCAGTGATTGCATTTTTCGTTATGAACCGCTGCCTGGAACCACGGCTAAACTTTTCTTGGAATAAGTACGTTCGGTGAGGATGTACATGAGTTCTTTCAGCGTGCGTATCCCGTGTGCGTGGCAATGGCTAGAGAGCATGCTACTCCTCCCCTTTCCGCGGCGTCGCTAATGTTCTCGTGAGAAATGGTTTCGAATTATCTTCATACTGTCGAATATCATTTTACCAGAACCCAATACATTCCAAAACCGGACGTTTATTGACAGCAAGCAGCCGTAGCTCACTTACTAAAAATTGACCTTTGTAATAGCCCATAGTGACGTCGGTCCTGGTGGTTCCTTCAGTGAATTATTTGCTATCGCCTGGTGTGATGTGACTACTCCACTAACTTCATCCGCAAACACAGAACTGTAGAACTTCAGTTAAGAATTCAATAGTTTCCGGACAAATTACGAGGACGTACAATTGTAACGGATGAGATATTGGTATCTCTCTCCCTCTCTCTCTCTCTCTCTTCACGTTCATATCACTGAATTTGACGAGGCAGAGCATATAAGAACTCTTCCATTCCTACGTCACGAATTTTCCGTCATCTGCTTTTTTGAACTTCTCGACTTATAACTCAAAACTGCTTTTTCGGACGCATGGGGATACTTTCAACAGTTGAAGGGAGTACCTATGTGGTCATCCATCTTTGGCTTTCTTGCTACAGTCATGATACACAAATAAGAAGCTACAGCCTTAATATTGGCCAACCCAAATCTGCAGGTGACCTAAATGGACAGCATTTCTGATAGTATTTGAAGGAATCAACTGGAAATGCTCCACAGAGTTGTCCTCCCAACCTTTCCATGATTTACGTTCACGTTCGAAATGCTCTCGTGCATAGAATGGCGGATGGAGCATTCTAAACGTCAGTCTAGTGCAACGAATCCTGTGTGGAAGTTATTATGTACTGTGAAAACAGTCACCCAATCGCTCATAAACAAAGCGCTGTTAACGTTCAAAAACACACTGCTATAACAATGACTGTATAGAGCCTCAGTATTCGAAGAAATTGTTTTCCAAAAATGGGTACCCTTGAAATATTGCAAGTCGGTCCATAATAAAATTGGATTTAAAAGGCGGAAAGCAATGAACTAGGTTGTTCCAATCAGGTGATCAAACCACTGAACACGTCCTTACATTAATAATGTGTCCGAACTCTTTGGAAGGCACCTGAGGAAGCACCAAATACAACTGACGCACAAACCGCTGACTATACTGGGCACCCAGGTAGCACACCTCAGTGATAGGTTTAGTTGTTTTGATGAGAAAGAAGTCATCCAGGGGCATTCCTGCTACAGCCGCAATGTAGTATACTTTGGTCAAGCTCGGAAGAGTGGCTCTTAACACACATACATAAACACCGGTCGACAGGAAAGAGGCGAGGTCACTCGCCCCATGTCGCCCCACAGACGCTGGAACCTGGACACAAACTTGCTTGGGACAAGACCCGCATTGCTGGGTTCTGTCCACCTAAAAAGGCAGAGAATCCTTGGAGGCCATATATTTTGATAATCCGCACATGAATGGACACACAGAATGTAATGCTGTGTACAAAAATCTCAAGGAGAAACTGGAAAAAGCCATAGCAAATCAGAATGGGATGTCAGTTCTCAGAAATTTCTAATTGGGCAGAGTGCAGAAACGGTATTCGTATTTTAGACATGTTTAAATTTTGGAATGTTTTGCACACTTGCTGCACCCTTGACGATGATCCGGGGAAACAAACGTCAAAAATTTGCGAAATAAAGTTTGCTGACCTCCTCAAAGCACTTATTTCTCCCAAAAATACGCATGTATCGGAGTCCCTGCATATAGTAGGCGGGCTAACTCATGAAATGTCAACCGAAATTCCGAAATGCGTTTTCTTTACGAATAAATAAATTGAGTAAGGTTGTAAAACTAGTCAGCCTGCAAAACAATTCTACAAGTTTTCATTTACGTCAGTATGCCGGCTTTCGAATTAACTCCCTTCCGGCTGCATGCAAAAACAACACTCTGTAAAAAAGACTACTTGAGTAGCATGCATTTTTTTCATTGATTTTCGATGCCCTTAAAAGTTCGATTATATTTCATGAAAAACATGAATAAAAATACTCATTCTTTTGCTCATTCCGTAGATACTTACGCCTTACGTCTTATACTCGAAGAAGGGTGTAATTCGGTTTGCAAAAACTTTTCCAATTCCCGGAGAATTTTGAACCCGCTCTACCGTTACATTTGGATTCAGGGTTTCCAAACTACCAACCGTATATTTTCCGCGTACCGAAAACCACATGTTTCTCTACGGTAATAAAGGGGAACCATATGTAGTTCATAAAATTTAGCATTGAATTCGATCCATATTGTTAACTTTACAAGCGACGTTGGTAAATGCAGGGATATGAGGATTTATGAACGGTCATTTCACGGTATTTAAAAGTCCCACAATTGGAAACTTTTCAAAATTGAATTTTTTCCCTTTTGGTGTATAAAATTAGTATAAGAAGTGATTTCATACTGAAAGAGCAAAATAATGAATATTTTATGCATATTTTCCATGAAATATAATCGACGAGAAAAAATCATGCTACACAAGTAGTCGTTTTTTTACAGAGTATAGTTTTTGCATGCAGCTGGAATGAAGTTACTTCGAAAGCCAGCATCTTGACGTAACTGAAATATTATATAATTATGTCGTTGATGGTGGTGGTGGTGGTGGTGGTGGTGGTGGTGGTGGTGGTGGTGGTGGTGGTGGTGGTGGTGGTGGTGGTGGTGGTGGTGGTGGTGGTAGCATTGTAAAATAAGCCATAAATTCTCATCCCAGTCTCTCCGATATCTGTCAACACCACTTCTCAATTATTATCAGGTTTTCGCAGCGGAGGCTGACAATCTCGCCTACTTGTAGCATTTCATCTGACTGCGTGTTGTAGTTCCAACAAAGCACAAAAAGAACACCTTGCATTTTAGTCACATGTCAGTTTGCGCCGGAATAAGCTTGACCCTGATGACAAGCCAGTCCCGCTCATTGAACTTCACAAGGCCAGAGATCCACTGCCGTACGTCTTCTCATGTCCCCAGTGGTGTACCTCATCACTGCCGCCAGTCAGTTTCGGATTCGGGATAAAATTTGCATACTTCTAAATTCCATTATTAGGTTATCACGACACTACCGAACCATATCATTCGACGAGTGAGTAAGCTGGACCTGGCTTGTTTTGCTGCTGATCGACCGTTCGGCCGCCCGTAGAAGACAAGATTACATGGGGAGATTTGAGAAAAGGAACTCTTAGCTTGCTCTGTAGACTGGAAAATGGATAACTGTGGAGGGTTTGGACATAATCCCTACTATAACAGTTCGACAGAAGCTGTCATCAAAATTAATTCTCATTCGGTTGTCGTCCTCCATCCCTGCCTTCGCTTTAATGGTATCTACAAAAATCCCGGGTACGAACGCAATACCTCATAAAACCTGACTGCAACAACAAATCAGTTGTCTCAAAACTTACTCTTTGTCGGAGCGCCACTGTGAACTAACGTCCGAGCATGAATTGTAGGTGGCGGACGAATACATACTCGTCCAAACTCTCACACCAGCTTCATCGACGTCCAGCTTCATTAGTGTTTTTTTATTTGCTCAACGTGAGTGGCTCGACATTTACGTCAATATCGCGACAGAATC